TGTTGCTGTTGTTGCTGCTGCGGCTGTTGCTGTCGATATTGCTGTTGTAGTTGTTGTTGCTCTTGTTGCTGCTGCTGTTGCTGTTGATTTTGCTGTTGTGTTTGTTGCTACTGTTGTTGTTGCTGTTGTTGCTGTTGCTGCTGCTGCTCTGCTGCTGCTGCGGCTGCTGCTGCTGCTATTGCTGCTCTTGCTGCTGCTGGTACCCGCGTCGTCGTCGTCGTCGTCGTCGTCGTCGTGGAGGCTGTAGTTGCTGCTGCTGTTGCTGTTGTTGTTGCTGTTGTTGCTGCTGCTGCTGCTGCCGTTGCCGTCGTTGTTGCTGCTGTTATTGCTGCTGCTGCTGCTGCTGCTGCTGCTGCTGCTGCTGCCGTTGGCGTCGTTGTTGCTGCTGTTATTGCTGCTGCTGGTGTTGTCGTTGTTGCTGTCGTTGTCGTCGTGCTTGTTGTCGCTGCTGCTGCTGCTGCTGCTGCTGCTGCTGCTGCTGCTGCTGCTGCTGCTGCTTTTGGTCATGTTGGTGTGGCTTCTGGTACATGGTGAGGATGATGTAGTGATAATGATGCTAACGGCTATGATGCTGGTGGTGATGATGATGGTGATGACGGTGATGGTGGTGATTCTGTGATTGTTGTTGATGATGATGATGATGCCGAAAAGGATGACGACGATGATAATGCTGATGCAGAGATGGTGATGATGTTGAGGACGACGATGATCACGATGATGATACAACGATGATGATCACAACGATGATGATGATGATGATTGTGTTGCAGCTGCCGATGATGATGAAGATGTTGATGATGAAAGTGAAGACGAGTATGTAGATGGTGCTGACGATGGCGACGAAGACGTTGAGTCTCATAGCTGTCATGACCCACGTGACAAGCAAACAGAACCTGCTGGAGGTTCCCTGCCGTTGTGACCGGTGCCATCATTACTGCTTTGTCCTTGTGATGTGGCATTCCAGGACGAGGCGCCAGTCGCGGAGAACACCGATGACCATCGGCAGGAGCACCAGACTGCCTTACCACGAGAACCATATCTAGCAGTCCTCTAAAGTCCCCCTAAGGATTGAAAAGCGGCAGGGTAGGAGTCGTATGCAGCTTTCTTTGCAGGGCGGAAGAAGCAGCTGGTGCCAGAAATCAGAGCACGGTTGGTTTGGAGACGACACCGAACGCAAGTCTCTGGTCGCACACAGCAAGAATGAGCACCAAACCAGACGACTTATGCAAAACGACAGGCTTCCGTTGACTGCAGCAGCTTCATGGAAACATAAATGCAGCTTGGAGCAGCTACCCCTCAGAAGTCATATCTTCTACCTATTCAGATTCTACATAGGGTTTAGGGTTCTATCTCGCGGCAGGCAACGGCGAGCAAAGGAATGCCATCGACATCGATGACTGACCCAAGTCCCTTTTGTTGCGACTGTGGCTTCGTCTTCTTTGGTTGCTGCTGGTGCAAACCCGCCTACAACAGACCATGCCTCAAAGGTCACGCGATTTATGCTTCCCGTGGGCAGGAGATCTATGTATACATCACGACCGAAAGCCAAGCCACCCATTAGGAAGACCATTGGCCCCTCCCAGCTCTGAAAGAGGGCACCGTTGAGGCTGTAGCTGCCGACGTAGCCTTGGCTGTGACTTCTCGTTTGGGGGTTGGGTAGGTCCTGCAGGTATACGAGAACGACTGATGAACGGCAGTGGCATCCAGTCATACAGCGATGGAGAGTCGGGGTCAACCAAGCCAATCTGATGACGTCAGTCTTCTCTGTACTGCCTCTTGCGAATGGTGCTGCTATGTTGACTGCGATGTTGAACGATACCCTGGTTGTTATGCTGAGCTGGATTCTTGCATCCGGAATGAAGCTCCGACAAAGCTATCAACAGCAGCTTTCAATTTCCTTCCAAGTCACTGAGCAAGTGCCAATGTAAAGTGGCCAAGAGAGGCAACATCTCCTGGATTGTCTTTCCGTTTCTGGTCGGGATGTACTGACTTGAGAAATTGGAGGCCCCGGCGAATCTGCCCAGCATGCCGACCTCTCGACGCTAACGTTATGACGCTAAGGTGAAGTCCTTCGACCCTAAACCCTAAACCCTAAACCCTAATTAATGGCCAAGTGAGCAGAAGAGGATTCCGATTCTCTACATCCCGAATCTCGAAGACTGAAATATCCTCAACTCCAAATGGTCAGCCGAGCCCTGACCAAGCGCTACTTGGAGGTTCATGGGTAGTTATAAGTGGGGTTATAAGTCCCCCAATATGGGTAAAAAGTATAAGTCCCCTATTATGGGTTATAATTATAGTTACCCTACTTATAACCCTACTTCTAACTACCCATGAACCTCCAAGTATGACCCCTTATAGACCCCTTATAGAACCCTCTTATAGATCCCTTAAAGGAGCCCTATAACTACCCATGAACCTCCAAGCAAGTGAGCTTCACTCTTCGAGTCTGAAGCGAAGTGGGGCTTCGAGTGTTCTCAAGCTCCTGTCCGAGCGCATCTCACATAGGGTTGATGATATAAATCCTGCATTACCTGAAAAAGGCGCCAAACTATGGGAGCTAGGGTAAATTCCTTATTAAGGGTACTGCAGGATTTATGTCATCAACCCGTATGCCTGGAGCCCCTCTCTGTGTGTGATGTGCTTTATGCGCCCATGCGCGCAATAGGTAGACTGATTATACTTGGAGGTTCATTGGTAGTTATAAGTAGGCTTATACGTAGGGTAACTATAATCATAACCCCTATTAGGGGACTTATAACCCCACTTATAACTACCCATGAACCTCCAAGTAGGGTAAGATAGGGCTCCGGGAACCTCCCTGAAATCCAAAGCTTTACCCATAGGCCCCGTGGTAGGTCCTTTTTGGGGTTACCTTATAGGATTCTATGTATGAACCCAAAAAGGAACTACTTTAGGGCCTATGGGTAAGTCTCATCAAACTTGACCAAGACTCTATGAGAATTACATCGAGCACATGCCCAGCTGCAGTATCCGGAAAGGTGCATTTTGCATTTCCGATCTGCCACAAAAGAACTTCGGCACTGAAGACCTCGGACATGGATAAAATGGCGTCGCACTCTGGCTCCCGGCACCTATCATATAGGGGCCTTAATAATTAGAATAGGGTTTGGGGGGTTCCTTATTATAATTAAAGTATGATATCCCCCCCCCCCAAAAAAAAAAAACCTACTCTAATTATTAAGGCCCTATATTATCATGCAGGGGCCTTCATCACAATAGGGCTTTGGTCTACAATTCTTCTCCTTGTATGATAGGCTAGCGTTAAAAAAAAGCGGTGTTGCCAATTGTTCAGGCCCCAGTATTGCCCCTAAACCCTAAACCCTAAAAACTAAACCCTAAACCCTAAACCCCAAACCTTTATAAACCCTAAACCCTAAACCCTAAATCATCTTCCGCAAGCGCAGGATTCGGGAGTCGGAGGCTTTGGTTTATATGGATGGTTGTCAAAATTATGATCCCTTTTGGGGTCCTTAAGATAATACGGCACCTATTATGTAGGGTACCCCAAAAGGGACCAACCCATATGGTTGGAAATTGGAAAACCTAGCAAAGGACGACCTAAACAAGAGACTACCATGTCAAGCATTGCTCACGCACTCAATCTCTGTATCCACGGTCCAAGACCTGAGGCCCTTTGCAAGCCCGCGGGTTGACCGACAGTTCCGCTGTCTGCCAGGTGGTATTGTGAGGTTTGGCTGTGCATGCGATGGGGATGGAAAGGAATTAGACACAATGTTCGAACATCGGCATGAGATGGGACGGCTGAGCGCGACCCTGCACTGCAGAAGACTTCCGGTGATGAGGATTTCCGTTGACATGTTTCCAGGCCCCAAGACTTTGCATCTTGATGAACCTCATGGAAAGAATCGACTGCACGATTTCGGTGAAGTGGGCTGCTGCATCCTACTGGGGGCGAAGCACCAATCTCCCAATTTAAAGCTTAATGTCGGGGTCCTAATTTCAATAATTAGATTAGGGTTTTGGGGCATCTTGTACTACAACTGCAACATGGAGCCACCAAAAAAAAAGGTATTGGTCGTTGTTTTAAGTCCCGATATTGGGTTGGGGGCTGCGGAACCTCTGAGCTTCCGGCGAAATAAGCAAAGCGGCCCATATACTGGAAGCACGTGTCAACAGACCTGGGGCAAGGTAGGAGTTTAGAGTTTAAGGTTAGAGCTGCACCTTCCAGGGATTGCTAATCATACTCTTTCTTCAACACTTACATGTCAACATGCAGATCTGACTTCGTCATGGCCAGCACAACTACAACAAAGGATCGCAAGCGTGTGGAAATCGGCCGCAATAACATAATGCTCTGCAACGGCGGCATCAGCCAGTCATAAGACACGCTATGCGACAAGTACATGCACACCTAAAGTCCTGCAGCATGTGGCAGTGAATCTATCGCACGAACGGCTGGGTCGAGAAGACCCATCCCGACCCGTCCACCCTAAACCCTAAACCCGAACCNNNNCCCCCCCCCCCCCCCCCCCCCAAGACAGCTTCTTTGGCAGAGTGGCCTGTATCCCATTGGGCTGATGAGCCCACCTCAGCAGCACCAAAGGGCTTCCACGCACGAGGCTCGTGTTCGGGCCTGAGTCCACGCCCTTCGAACCTCTGTTCACAGGCCTCCGATGTAAGTTGAAGTTGCAAAGCACCTGGATTTAGAATCAAAATCTAAATGCTCGCAGCACAGCAGCAGTACCACCAGAAGGTCGTGATCATGGTCCAGAAGAAAACGCGCTTTGGTGGACGAAGCCAAAGGAAACCAGCCTTGACTTGAGATGAGCAGCCATTGAGACCGGGGAAGTGAGTCAAGATCACTTTAGGATAGCTTCGGATGGAAGGGCAGTAGAGTCGAGACTTGCAGACCCTGAGGAACAACAAACATGGGTCTAGGATGGGTCTGCAGTTTTGTCACTCATATGTCAGGTCATAGATCTGCTTTGGAATCGGGTAGATCATGGAGCCCCGCTTTCTCTGTCGCTCAGGTCTGCATCGTGCCCAAACCATGGCAACCTTCATGCTACCCATCCATCCACTGGCTAGCGGCTAGCGCGTCCATGCCCAACCATGATAACGTCCGTGCCAAAAACCCATGCATTGGCCAGTGAATCCATGCCCAAACCATGACAACTTTCATGCTACCAACACATCTATTGGCCAGTGCATTCATGCCCGTTAGAGTTCCCTGTAAAAATCAACAAATTTTCAGCGCAGAAAAATAGTGTTTTTTGGTTTTTGCTCCGCATGTCGTCATAACGGTAGCTCTTGAAGAATGCTGACATGCGAAAGTTTTGGCCCTGCCGTGGCTTTCCAACATTGGTCTAAGACAAACTCGGGCAAACGAGGGTGATCCACCCTTTGAGTAGTACCCCAGAACTCGAAGAAACATCCCTCTACCGCAGCAAGGCAGACACGAGCTGAAGCGGCTCAACGATTGCCCATGTGACGCACGCAAGTGTTTGCAACGTCATGTCGAGAGCCTAGATTAGAAGCAAACGGTCTCAATGATTCCCATGGCAGGTGAAGAGCGATGGGCGAATGCTGTCTGTCGCCCCTCTGTGGCAACCATCCGTGACTCCAAAGTGTCGACTCGTATAGACTACCGTATAGACATACTTGGAGGTTCATGGGTAGTTATAAGTGGGGTTATAAGTCCCCGAATCTGGGCTATAATTATAGTTACCCTACTTATAACCCTACTTCTAGCTACCCATGAACCTCCAAGTAGGACCCGGCAAGGCTGGGCCACTAAGATGCAAAGTGACTCGGGAGGCTTTGAAAGCCCGCCTCAAGATACTTCCGACGATAGTTTACACAACAGGATCCTACTTGTCCAGTATCCTGGGGAATTAAAGGTTAACCTTTGGGAGTCTAGGGGGGCCTTATAGGGATTATAGTGCCCCAGAAAGATTAAAGGTTTCCTACTCTACTACTAGGAAAGCTTGCCTAAGACTTCTGAATGACCCGCGCGTGCGATGGCTCCAACAAGTCATAAGAAGCCTCCGGCCCTGGCTATGTACGAAAGGGGCCGTAATACTTAAAATACGGTTTTCGGCTCCTTTATAGTGTGATTGTGACATTTATATAGGAGCCTTACTGCTTAGAATGAGTTTGGGGTATATATTATACTATTATTAAAATAAGGACCCCGCAAAATAGTATTCGTAATTATATGGGCCCCTATATTCCCCCACGTTACGACTTTACGCATCACGGAATCTTAGCCCTTGAAGCCCAGGAAACGACAAGGAGAGCGTAAACCCTAAACCCTAAACCCTAAACCCCCCAAACAGGAAACGACAAGGAGAGCGTTCAATGCCAGCAGTGCAGGCGTGGTCTCGTAGCCGCAGTTCTGAGCACCTAGGTTGTAGGGCCCCAAGAAAGCACATAAGCAAAAATTAGGATAGGGACATCCCATATAAAACCCCCTTAGAATGAAGCCCAATAAGGTAGGGATATCCCTATAAAATGCTTATGCTTATGTCCTTTTTGGGTCCCTAAGGTTGTCGTCTCAGTGCTTAGGGTAGGGTTTTTTTAAGTGTAGTAGCCCCTTTTCTGCTGCGAGACTCGCCCCGTAGGGCTTACAAAAAGGAGACCCAGCTCTAGGGTAGGGTTTGAGGTTTAGGGTTCAGGGTTTAGGGTTTAGGGCTTAGGGTTTAGGGTTCAGGGTTGAAGATAGAGCCCCACAGCCGCAGGACCTGATTCCTAGAAAATGAGATCTCTGAGTTCATCCCGAGTGGCCTGCAGCCGGACGGAACTCCATGCTGAAGGGATACCAGGAGTCGAAAGCGACACTGTCCTGGGAACCACATGGGGGTGTGGAAGGTCGAAGGTGCAGTTCTCTGCAGGTGGCAGTATGAGGCAGTATAGGGGCCTTAATAGTTGGAATAGGGTTTTTGGGGTATAGTATACTATAAGTATAACAAGGAACCCCCCCCAAAAAAAAATAGTATTGGTAATTATTTAGGCCCCGATATTAAACTAGCAGCATCAGCTGCAGTGCTAGTGGCAGCCTGAGAAGCGAAAACGTTTCTGCAGTAACCGTACTGCTGCATCAATCAATGAAACTATGCCAGAAATCGCGAAATGCGCTGTGTAGGGGCAAACTTTTATCGAGGGAGCGGGGAGAGCGGGAGAGAGGGAGGGAGGGAGAGAGAGAGAGAGAGAGAACAACAAAACGGGGTAAACAGAGAGACACAGCAAACCAGAGACAGAGAGGGTGAGGAGACAGACAGAGAGAGAGAGAGAGAGAGAAGAGAGAGAGAACACTACAGACAAGAACGAGGAATGCAGTACTGGATCATCTAGTTGAAATTGTGCACGATTTGGGGGATTCGATTCACGGTTCGTGGCTAGCGTGGGAGCAACAACCCAAGCACACAATGAACTGCGAACATTAAACCCTGAAGCTGCTCAGCTGAAGGAGGCGGGGGTCTTAATTACATCACACACGTCTGCGTGCATGCTTGTGCGTTCTTGCGAATGAAAGCTCAACATACACATGGCATACGTACCCATTTTCTCTCCCGCCCTCTGTTTCTGTCTCTCTTTCTCTCTCTCTCTCTCTCTTCCTCCCTCCCTCCCCTCTCCCTCCCTCCCTCTCCCTCCCTCCTCCTCCCTCTCCCTCCCTCTCCCGCCCTCCCTCCCTCCCTCCCTCCCTAGTTTGCCTACAGACATACATCCAGGCATACATGCATGCACACGTACATGCATACGTTACATACATGCATATACACATACATATACATATACATATCCTGGATATGCAGATACAGATACATAGACACATATCTATTCCTGCACACACACATACATACATACATACATACATACATACATACATGCATACATACATACATACATACATACATACATACATACATACATGCACACACATGTCTATATATATATACACATAGACAGACAGACAGACAGACAGACAGACAGACAGACAGATAGATAGATGCAGATACAGATACAGATACAGATTCATGCACATACACAAGATTGGCCTCCGACGTCAAACCTGCAGCACATCCAAGTAACGACGCCATGTCGTTGGCTCGCTTCGAACTCGGCGGCCCCGCTGCCTATCCTCAATCTATCCGGCCGGCTGACGAATTTAGTTGCGTGCCCCTAAACGTCGCAAGATTGGTCCACATCTAGATCTGTATGACAGGGATGTTTTGCCGGGAGCCTGGTGTGGAATGCAGAGGCCTGGGAGATCATTAGTGCTGCGCAACCCTTGCAGAATGGACTCATACTTGAACCACTTCCCCTACTGGAAAGCCTTAAGGCCGAACAAAAATTAAATGGTTTCGACTTGTGCAAAGTCCAACTGGGTTCATGAAACCTGTTGCATACAGACAGCTGCCTTCGCCAGCACCAGGGCGAAACCAACTTTTCGACTTTGATTGAAACCTCCTCTGCCAGCTTGCGAAGACCACGAGTCTAGCTCAGAAAAACTCTTCGCTGAATTTCCGTCACACGATTCAACAAACGGTGAGATTGAGTTTCTGAGCTGCGGCCAAGATACCTTACTTCGAAACAGCCACCACCCCAACCAATGACACCGGCGTGCCTGGACACGACTGCATGAAGAAACGTATCATGATGGTGGTGGTGGTGGTGGTGGTGGTGGCAGTGGCGGTGGCGGTGGCGGTGGCGGTGCCGATGATAATAATAATAACGATGAAGGTGGCGGCGATATGATCTAAACATGTACAATGATGCTGGAGATGAGAAGCAGTACGAAGGTGACATAGAGGATCATTAGGAATTTGTGTGTGGTAGGGGGGGCCAGGAATACTGCACCAGAACTGTCCTGAAAGTATTGTAAGAACGGCTGAGCTAAGCCTAGCAAAGTTTTGAACAGAAGCACCATGCAATTGGTAACAGCAACACACTGAAAAACCTTTAGTGCATGTGAGAATGTAGGCTTCGTAGTGCGGTGGGCATCCTCGGCTAGAATGCAACCGTCGTGTTTGCGTCGGACTAACGAACGGTTAGTTTTTGCGTTTAAGGAGTTGCAACCCTCTGCCCAAGTTCAATCAGCGGGGAATCCAACGTTTCGTCACGAGTTTCCAAACCAAGCCGGAAACACGTAGCTGAACGATTGAAGCCGTAAACCCCTAGCAGTCTATCGGGACCAGTGGCCAGGCAGCGATGCAGATGCGCGAGTCAGCTCTATAGGGGCCACTGCCAATGACTCCTCGGATCCGTGAGACCGATGATTCATTAACGTAAGGGCCTAAAGAATTACCCATACTATTTTGGGGGTTCCTTATTATAATTATAGTATACTGGGCCCAATTGAGGCTCCTATGTTACTCTGGGTGCTGCATGGGCGTTGAAGCGCAATGCTTTGGGGATGAAGCGCTCCAAAGTGCAGAGGGCTTGATGCGGGCAAGAAATCGACTTGACTCTTTTTGAAAGTGCTGGGCAGACCCGGTTGCTTCACGGGCTTCTGCATGCAGAGCAGGCGATGCTTGACGAGGCGCCCCTGCCCACTAGCTCAGCGATTTCGGGGCCTAAACCCTAAACCCTAAACCCTAAACCCTAAACCCTAAACCCTAAACCCTAAACCCGAAAAAAGTACCAGCTCTTGGTTCACTCGCAGTCAGCCGCCGACATCTTTCTCCAGCCAGCTTCCGGCATGGCAGTGCCCGGCTGTAGGGCTCTAGCCCAGAGAGCCCAATACCCCTTGAATAAGGAATATACCTTAAATTATAGGGCCTTAATAGCATGATTTAAGGTATATTCCGTATTTAAGGGGTATTGGGCTCTCTGGGAGTTCGTGACTCCCCAGCAAACAGGCCTGCAAGGGCTGGTGAGAAACCCAGCTTGCCAAACCACACACGTCACTCGAAGAAAGTGACATCCGAAAGCGTGCTTGTTCATCGGCCTTCACAGCAGTGGCGAAGTCTGCATTAATCTTGGCTTGCTCGAAGTCCATTGGCGATTCGACATCTTCGCAGTCTTACAGAATGCATCTGAAACTCTGGGACAGGAGGACGGACCGATTCCCGTTGGATACGGGCCGTCGTACCGAGTCGTCGTACCGAGTCGCTGCATGCACTTGTGTTTGTCAGGCAACCGTACACCCAAACACAACCCTAGACGTTGACTGCTGCTACACTTTCGACAATACTACTACGGCGACGACGACTAGTACTGCTACTGCTGCTGATACTCTGCGACTGCTAGCAGCTAGCACCTCTCTACAATGTCAACCAACTGCCATCACAACATAGCGCTCCTACTGATCACACCCATATGCTTCACAGACTCAATTCGTCCATAAGAACTCATTGCTGCTGGTAACCGACAAATGCTGCTACCATGCCGACGACGACGATGACCACAAAAAATGACATTGCCATAAATAATTAGAATAGGGCTTTGGGGCATAGTATATTACGATTATAACAAAGAAAACTTCAAAAAAGAATGTTGGTAACTATTTAGGCCCATTTATTACACTGAAGCCTGTCCCAGAGGCTGGAGTCAGTGGGGCTGTGCCTCAGCTTTTGGTCGATTTGTCTCGGAGACAAGCACAGAGGCTTCCGTAACAAGAGTGATCATGGTTTAGGGTTTAGGGTTTATAACGGTTTAGGGTTTGTTTAAAGTGCAATCGCCTTTTCTGTGGGTTTCGGGTTTAGGGTTCAATGTTTATGAAGGCTTTGTCGGCAATGATGCCGCTTGCTATCATGTCTCTCTTTTCTTGCTTCACGAGTTGGTTTTCAGTTGGAAGTTCGAAGATGCATGCTACTTTCTACAAGCTTGGAGTTTGAAGCAGAACTGCTTGCGTGGTTGCTGAGCGTGACATCAAACATCTATACTCTATACTGTTCACGAATCTTCAGCACCAGAACTCGCCTGTGTGCGTATGGATAGGGCACATGTTTTACAGTTTACTGCAGGACCTGTCGCAGTCTAATGCCCGCTCTACGTTACTTCGATACCTCGGCGGCGTTACGGTCCAAGATGATGCCGACAAGCAAGCTGGAATCTGGTGGCATGACTCTGCACCGTTACGATATGCCAGGACATTGCTGCAGTTTCCTGGACAGTGCGGGAGCTTTGAGTGCACTGCTGCATCTGAACAGCATCGAAGGCACAAGCCATGACCACAAAGCCCATTGCATCGCATGGGTATCCAGCGACCACCTGGGCTGCACCTCGAAGTTGCTGCATAGGTTGATTAGAGTAATTGGTACTTACTTTGCCAGTTGTGACAGCCATGCTCGTTCCTATCTCAGACTATACTAACAACTTAGCCAGTTTCTGTCAAACTGCTATGGCTCCTGCAATTCTAGCTATCACCACGACAGTTGCTGTCGTGCTTTGTTGTGTTCTGGCTGCTATCATCAAACAAGCTGGCCGTGTTATTGTGTTGGACTGGTCTCCCTTGAAATGGATGCACATCCAGCGTTCCATATTTGACAAACGTGATCTGCACTTTTCTGTTTTTGTTACCACGAAGACAACGGCGAGTACTAAGTTCTTAAAATGCAGTTGGCATTGTTTTCATGATTCATCATAACTTCAGCATTGCCACCAGCCACAGATATTATTCTTCCTTGAGAGTTGATCGCAGGGGAGTGATGGGAGCTCAGTTCGTAGCATCATGGAAGTCTCCGGAATCAGCACACGGAACAGGAGCCGAAGAGTGTGGAACAACCATCCTCGAAGTGGTATGTGGCTTTAGGATTTGGGCTCGGAGCTAGAAGTCCACCGGAACTCTGCACCCCTAAACCCTAAACCCTGAACCCTGAACCCTAAACCCTAAACCCTGAACCCTAAACTCTACAGAGCCACTGCTGAAGTCTGAAGCCTACGACGCCTCAGGCACCGGCTCGCTGCCCCAGAGGCCGCATTGGCTTTCTGGCAGGTTCTCACAAAAGCAAACATCTGAGACAGTGAAGCCTATCTCCTCCAGCTTAATAGCATTTTGGGGCCCATTATGAGGAACCCCCAGAATACTTGGAGGTAAGTAGGGTTATAAGTAGGGTAACCATAATTATAGCCCATATTAGGGGACTTATAACCCCACTTATAAGTACCCATGAACCTCCAAGTAGTATTGGTAGCTATTTAGGCCCCTTGATCTGGCTCAGGCCTCCAAAGTCGGTGTTGTACCGGAGGAACGCGGACCGGCAGCTCAACACGGTAGGGCTACCACCGTCCGTGGAGGCAGCGAAGAAATGAAAGTAGTAGCCTCGCCGAAAACTCGACCAAGCAGAAAGAGCCGAAGGGATCTGAAGGAATATTAGAGTTTAATCAGAGGTTAGCGGTTTGGGGGTTTCAGGTTGAGGGCTGTAGGGTTTAGGGATATGGCAGCAGGCTGATTGAATGACCTGGTCTATGTGCAAGGCAGATTGAAGGAGTCAGGGCCTGGAAACCCATAAAATAAGGTATCTTCTGGAGGAGCTGAAGCCAAGCAAATGTTGAAACTTGGCCGGACTTGTCAGCATGCCTGCTTGAAGCCCAAAACCTTGACCAATAAAGCCTTAAAGCCGTGAGCATCAAACCCAAATATCAAGTAGACTGCAGAAACTTGGGTTGCCAGGGCTGCTGGAGGCCACGGGGACTTCATCACGTCATTTAGCTCAGGCACTGGTAATGATTATGGCAGCCCCCACAATCATGTACGACAGCTGCAATCTTCCGCGGACTCTGGTCTCAGCAGCCACACAGTTGCCACCTCCTCACATGCGACGACGGATGCTGGTGAGGAAAGACTAACACTTAGTTTACCACAGCACGGCACTGTTGGACGCGGATGCACGGCTCTGCCTTCTTCGCACTTCAAATGAACATACGCGCAGGCACGGTGTTCAAGGGGCATCGGTGGTGCAGTGTTCGAGGCCAAATTAACACACAGAGCCGGGTGTCCTTGCTTGCCTTCTTCAACATCTGCATTAGCCTCAAGTCAGCGAGCGACACAGATGTACTTAGCGGCCAGCACCACATCTGCAAGCTACCCGATCCGATGATAGGCTGCGGAATCCATGCACCAAGAACATCTCCTCCCAGGCCGTATTTGCCGTGTTGGAACCCCAAGGACGCATGGAGTCAAGGACCCCAAGCTTAGTCAACTGGCGTGCTACATGAGGCACGGAATATCGAGAACAATGAAGTAAAAACTTGGGTAAATTCGCAAGGCACTGTCACTGTATCTATTTCGAGGAGTTTGAATGAATGACTCTGATGTCTCAAGATCTCGCCCGAATAAGTCCGACGGCGGCCAAAGAGTGGAAGTACTCTTACTTCTCCGCAAGCAGCAAACTCGATAGGACTATGGCTGCAGGTGTTCCTTGCAGAAGGGCCCCATAGCTTCAGGAAATGATTGTGCTCTATGAGTTCAGCTGCGAGAAACCCTAAACCCCATGCCCTACCTAAGCCCATTTGCCGGTCACGGGGCAACATTTCCAAACCGAGCAGCATCCTTGTGCCTCGCGACGTCGGCATTCGCTGGTGACGGGCCATCTGACAAGTTATATAGATCGTCAATGAAGCCAACACATCCTAGCTAGACCCTAAGACAGCAACGAAAAGATCTGTGCTTCAGACAAGAAGTTGAGGTGCTCTCTGTGTGTATCTATGTATGTAATTATGTATGTATGTATGTATGCATGCATGTACGAAGTCTGTGTGTATGTACGTACGTACGTACGTGCATACATACATACATACATACATACATACATACATACATACATACACACATACATACACACATGCATGCATACATACGTACACACATACGTACATGTATACGTACATGCATGCATACATACAGACATGCATGCGTGCATACATAGATACATACATCCATACATACTTACTTACTTATATAACCTACTTACGAACATGCACACCCATCCATCCGTCCGTCCACCCAGCCATCATACATGCATACATCCATACGTCTGTACACCTATACCCTTGCACATCTATGAATGCATGCATCCGATCATCCATAAGTACATACAAGCAGCATGCACACAGCCTAACCTAACCTGATACAACACAACACAGAACCATGCACAATAATTAAGCATAGCATGTCATAATATAGCAAAACATGACATAGCTCATGGTATGTTATTTCACAACATCACATAGCATGACACACCACAGCAACAATACACACAACGCATACAGTACACACACTGCATACACTACGTATACTACATACATCACATATATCGCATGCAAGATACATACTAGTCCCATGCAAACTGCCGGGGGATCAACAGATCCCTAAAACCCAAACCGTTCCGAAGCCCTAACGTAGGAGCCTCAGCAAACCACTCATATAATTGAGGATCCCTGATTATAATTATACTGTAAAGGACCCTGAGACCCTAAGGCCCCTAAACCCCAAACCCTTACAGCAGCCCTTACAGAGCCCTGTAAGGAGCGCTTCAAAGAAACCCCATTCAAGTATTAAGGACCCTTAATTAGAGACCGCCTTGGTTGCAAACAACTTGGACTTCGCTGTTGGCTCTCGAGAATTGCGAGAGGCAAGCTATAAGCCTTGTTCAGGGCGTAGGGTCTAGGGTTTAGGGCTTCATAAGGGTTTAGAGTTTTAGGGTTTAGGGTTTTGAAAACTGCAGCTTCGAGTGAAACAATTGAGGTGCTTGGTCGCC